CCCCAAAACCCCAAAACCCCAAAACCCCAAAACCCCAAAACCCCGGTTCGATGAAACTTAATTGATCTAAAAGAATTTAAATTTCCTATTCCGAATAAAGAATAAATTAAATGAGAATAAAAAGTAAAATGGGCAAGAGAGTTGTCCAAAGATTCAAGTTCATGTTTTTTGGGCTCATAGCTGTTGTTACTGGAAACCTCCTAGTTTCAGCCGTGAACACTGCAAGATACGCAGGTTATGAGGACTCGGTACAGAATACTTTTAGTCGTGGGCAAATAGTTGAGTATGCTGATGATGAGGACTTCTGTCACAGCTATGTCCTTTTGCCAGGTGTTCCACTAATCCACAAATCTATCTTAATCATTGCTTACTTGCTTGCCTTGATCTATCTATTCTTGGGGATAGCAATCATTGCAGATATTTTCATGGGTTCCATAGAGGTTATCACCTCCCAAACAAGGAGTGTGAAATACGAAGACGACAATGGAGTCCCTAGAGAAGCTAACATTTCTGTATGGAATCCAACAATAGCTAATCTTACCTTGATGGCACTAGGATCCTCTGCTCCTGAGATACTCTTGTCATGAATAGAGACTGTATCTGATCTCGGAGGAACTCCAGGAGAGCTTGGGCCAGCTACAATTGTTGGATCTGCAGCTTTTAATCTTTTAATCATCTCAGCAGTGTGAGTGGTATCGGTTCCTGGTGATGAAATAAGGAAGATCAATGACACTTTCGTTTTTGGAGTCACAGCTATAACCTTTATATTTGCTTACATATGGTTATACATCGTCTTAGAGGTGTGGACTGAAGGAAGGATCACAATTGCAGAAGCTGTTATTACATTTTGATTCTTCTTCATTCTAATCCTAGCCGCATACATAGCTGACAAGATTAACCAATACAGGAGAAAGAAAGAGAACGAACAAGCCAAAGACCTTAAGCAAAGGAACATTCCTATCAAAGAGTTCTTCCATATCTTAGGTGCGAAGAAAACCGTTGAGGCCCAGAAGAAAGCTAAAAAGGACGATTATGAAAAGGTTAACTCTTTAAACAACTTCTGGAAGAATTATTTTGGGACTAAAGACTTAACTGCTCAGACTCTAGAGAAGCTCAAGGGTGATATGGTGCCCAAAGATCCTATCCAACAGCGTATCCACTTTAGGAGGCAGGTTGGAAGGACTTTCAGGGTCGCTGAAAGAACTGAGATTAAAAAGAATGAAATCTTGTTTGAAGAACTGAAGAAGATTGAGAAGGAACAACCCAAATTTCTGTCCCCTATATGCGGATTTAGATGTCTTCATTATTCAGTGTCGGAAGGCATCGGGAAAATCAACGTCAAGTTCATCAATAAGACTGGCCAAGAAATGGAGGTTGGTGTACGAACAGTCGATGATACTGCATGAGCTGGAAATGATTACCACCCCATCGATGAAAAAGTTGAGTTTGGAGATAGCCAAAAAGAGCAGTTTGTTGAGGTCAAAATTGTTAATGATGATACGTTCGAGCCTGATGAGGACTTCTTCATTGAGTTGTATGATCCAGAGACAGGCGAAAGACTTCCTGGAGCTGATACCAGGACTAAGATCACCATTATTGATGATGATAAGCCAGGAAAATTTGGATTCTCCAGCAGATTCTTAAAAGTATCAGCAAAGGATAAGATTGCAAAGTTGAAGGTTCTAAGACAACAGGGTACAGACGGGCAGATTACCATTAAATTCAAGACAAATGAGATAGGAAACGCAGAAATTAAGGCAACTCCTAATGTTGATTTCATCCCTGTCTCAGGAACAATTGTCTTTGAGCAAGGAGAAAATGAAAAAGAAGTTATAGTGCCAATCTTAGAAAGAGAATCCTTAGAGGAAAGAGGTGACCAATTTGAAATAGAGCTCTTAGAACCAAGTGGAGGAGCCACTCTTGGCAAAAAGTCAAAAGCTACAGTTGAAATTGCTGGAGACACTGAAATAGTTCGAAAAGCAAAAGGAATTGAAGATATAATCAATATGGTGCAAAAAGATCAGAACGTTACATGGGGTCATCAGTTCAAGAATGCTATACTTTTATCTCCCCAGATAGATGAAAATGGCATCATTGACGAGATTACCGGCTGGGAAGCTGCTTTACACTTTGTGTGCATTGGATGGAAGGTTCTCTTTGCGACAGTTCCACCAGCAAAGCATTGGCATGGATGGCCTTCATTTCTGATCTCACTGATCTTCATTGGATGTCTGACAGCAATAGTTGGAGAATTTGCAGCTTTACTTGGATGTGTTATGACACTTAAACAATCTCTCACAGCTATCAGTATCGTTGCTTTGGGTACCTCGTTGCCAGATACGTTTGCTAGTAGGCAGGCAACCATACAGTCTGATAATGCTGATGTCGCTATTGGTAATATCACTGGGTCTAACTGAGTTAATGTTTTCCTTGGGCTTGGTTTGCCCTGGTTAATTGGATCCATCTATTATGAAGTAGACGGTGGTAACTTTGTCGTGCCAAAGGAAGGGCTTTCTCTATCTATCATCCTATTCTTAGTTACCTCAGTATCCTGCCTCATTACTCTTGTTGTGAGAAGACTAGTAATAGGAGGAGAACTAGGTGGTAAAGAAAAGTTCTGGAGATACGCAACAGCAGGATGGTTTGTATTCCTTTGGTTCATTTATCTGCTATTCTCAGGATTAAGATCTTATGATGCTCTCTAATTGTTCCAACCTCAATTTGAATTCGTAATTTAGGGGTTTTGGGGTTTTGGGGTTTTGGGGTTTTGGGGTTTTGGGG